GAATAGCAACTCCTCACACAGCAATTCCCACAATTAGTTCAGGTCACTCAGACAGCGACTCTTGCAGTTATTTGATGATCCTCAGACAGCGACTCTCGCAGCTACATGACATCCCTCAGACTATGGCTCTCGCAGTTACTTGCCGTCCCTCGGATACTCACCGCCAAGAACAGCATGCAGTACATCCCAAAGGAAGAGTGTCCAGAGTAGAAGGACAACCTAGACCACAGTAAAGAGAAAACTGAGTCCTCTGTGGTGAGGTCTGCAGACAGCATGAACAAAGATTAACAGCTGCTGTGCAAATGTAGCGCGGCCCTCTCCCTGAGCACCGTGGCGGCCCTCTCCCTGAGCACCGTGGCCCACCTGGATTCTGTGACGTTGGCTGGGATCCCAGAGCAGTTGATTTGCAGCACATTGCCCTTGCAGGTTTTGGGAGCACAGACCGCCATGAAGTTGGGGCGCGGACGTCCGATGGTATACTTCGCCAGGTCGGTTAGGGACTGGCTGACGGCCGCTCCAAACAGGAAGGTGCCCACCACCTTATAAAGTGCGGCCACATACTGGTTGAAGTCACTGTTGGAGTGAATCTTCTTGCTGTAGACCAAGTAGGCTTCACCAGAACATATCTGAACACAGGAGAAAGACACATGGTGACCATCAACATCATCTGGCGTCCAAACCGGTTAGATTTTTCCATCACAGAAACTAATTGGAAACTTGTTTGCGTAAGCATATGCATCAATGTATAAAGTTATTTTCGAGCATGACTAATACAAACATGTTTGGACAACAGCGCTGTCTTTGCTCACATCGGTCTGCATTGAATGTTATGGGCAATAAAACGTAATGAATTCTACACAGCATACAGAGCCTTGCAACGGATCTTCTCTAGGTTCCTTGCCAACACAAAGTGGTTTGGAGTGACACAAGTCAGTATTTTCGTGCTGTCCAGTGGCCATTTTTGATCCAGATTTATTCAGAGTATTAGGGCTGTTTCCTGATTTACCCGTTAAGGATCGTACCAACAATTAGCTTTTAAAATTCCTGTCTTGGAATGCCGGCTAATTAATTCTTGATGACTGACAAATGCACTTTAGTTTTTTATGACCCTGTAAGTAATATCCATCGCACCCTGCGTTTTGTGTTAAATAGTTTACGGCTAGTATGATACCAATAACACAGTAATAGTAAATTTTAAAAAAATTAATCTCTTAATTTAAATAATTAAAATTCCTGAAATTAAATTAAATTACATCATAGGACTGGCAATGACAACCAACATTTAAGTTTTGGTGAATGCATTTAAATCCATGAATGACTGACCGTGTAACATGATGTTTCAGTACAAGTACAGGCAAAGATTAACACTGAAAGCATGCGGTAATGGTAGGTCTGATGTAATGGAATGACACAATGCTCTAAAAGGTGAACACCCCTACAAACTGCCTTTATCTTATCATGTTATTGTTTTACCACCAACATTCCCTCAGGATTTAATGAGTAAATTCACAAAATTATAAAACGGTTTAAGCAAGATTTAAATACGTATAATATTCTTCTGACCAGAAACAGCTACAATACCATCATATTGGGTATAAATGGTTTTCTAGAGCATTTTTCAGGAATGTAGTGGTATTTTCTGAAATGAATTCTAAGGTCTCAAAGGTGTCTCTTATTGGCAGTACTGTGCAAGAGCCTTAGGCAGTGAAAGAAGATGATGTTTAAGTTACCTGCATGTTGGGTGTAAAACTATGATTTCATATCTGTAAAGTATGTCGACTTGCCACTCCAAAACCTCTCCTAAAGTCACCCCAGTCTGTGTAGCAGCCATCAACTACATCCCATGTATTTGTGACCTGGCAACTAGCACACCTTGTCGGGCTAGTCAATGCCTGATCAGGTAATTTAACTAATTACACTGATCAATCAAATCATTTAATTAGCTAAGCAGATTGGTGGTGAAAATTTTATTACTGCGTTTTCTTCCCAGATTTAATGGGCTTTGGAAAATTTGGCTAAACAGAAACAAACACTATGATATGTTGCCAAACACTGTGTGAGATGTTTATGTTAGCAATCCCTACGAAGACTGGATGCATGGATGCGTGAAAGCTGCCACTTTGGAGAACAGAAGAAATCCTTGCTAGTTTTTAATTGCGTTACAGTTCATTTGCATATCGTCTCGTGTTAAATTGTGTATTCTTTCTGGGTGAATGTAAACGTAATACCTAGATAAATAGCGTTGAACGTTCTCTCTGACTGTGTAAGACTTTCGCGCATTACTGTGCGGGATTTTCACACCAGCACTGAAGCTTCTCTGAGGAGCAGCTGAATGTGAAAGTGAGACAGAACAGCTGAGAATCAGCAAGGGGTCACATGACACATGTGGATCCGAGGGGGGGGGACGGGGGGGGGGGGGGAG